GGGCTGAGCTGGCCACACACACACATAAATAAATAAATAAATAAAATTAATAAAAAAATAAGTATTCTAAAGGAGTGTTCAAGGAAAATTGGTATGACCATGGAGTGTGACTCAGGTTAGAGTGCAAGGAGGACAGTGTCAGTGAATACAACTAGCAGAACTCAGGTGCATCATCCGGGTCAGTGAAGGAAAAATGAGGGCAATAGGAGGAAAGAAAGGTAAATAATATAAGAAAAATTTTAAAAATAATTACATGGTTTAAAATGATGATGATCAATAAGATTTAAAAGGAGGGGCTGGGAGATAGCTCAGTGGCATAAGTGCCTACCTGACAAGTGTCAGGTCCTGAATTCGATCCCAATACTAAAAAAACAAACTTTAGGGCCAGCCCAATACCACAGCGGATTAAAGTGCCTGCAAGCAGGAGCAGGGGCCAGGGGTTCGATCCCTGGGCCTGCCATACTGCCCCCCCCATGCTGAGTCGGCAATTGAGACTGGGCGTGGTGGTGCACCCCTGTAATCCCAGCACTTCACTTAGGAGGCTGTAAACAAGTGGATCACTACATGTCCGATCTAGTAATGAGCCCCTGAACACCCTGTAGACCCTTCCCTAAAATAAAATAAAAGGAAAGGTAAAAGGAAGGAAAATAAACCAAATTTTACTCCATAATTTAAAATCAGAGGAACTCTGAGGAAACACTGTTAGAGGCACAAATGGAGACAAGAGCTAAGGTGGATGCAGAGGGAAAGAGAACTTTTTCATAAAATAGAATCTTTCCTTTCATCCTCTGTTATGTGAATGAAAAACAGCAGTCAGGTTTTTGCCCTATTCCTGATTTAAAAAAAAAAAAAACAAAAACAAAAACAAAAACAAAAAAAACCCGACACTCTCACACAGAAAATGGAAGACAAATGCTCAACAGTGTCAAAACATAAAGTCACAGGGCAGGGTAGGCCTTTCCAAAGGCCTCCATGAAGGAGGCCTCACTGGAGTCCAGGGCTAACAGCTGACTGTGGGTGTGCAGCAGGGAAGCAGGGTGATGCAGTGTGACAAACAAGTCATTGCCATGCTGCCCGGCTGGTATATGCATGACCTGGGGCTTATCACAGAAAGCATCTCTGTTTTTCCAATGTCATCGCTGTCACCCGTGCCTCTACAGATACACACCTAGCCTTTCAATTCTGGTCAAGGAAGAAGACAATAGAGCAATTGACAAAGTAAGAGTTATAAGGACAAGTGTTTGAAAGGATTTTTCCAGAAGCTGTTGCCACGTTTTCCACGTGATTATTATCTGATACCTTAATAAAAAATGGATACTAGGGGTGAGGTCATCTAAACTGGGTGCAATTTATTTCGTTTTGTCTTTGATGGGGAACAAAGGACAGGTAGTTGGTTGCAGTCTGGCTTTTGTATAGCATGGTACTGTTTCATGGAAGTTATTTTAAAATATCTAAATATTATAAGATTTAAATATACTTGTGAAAATTCTGTGAAATATATACAGTGACATATTTGTGAAATATATACAGTGAAAATACTGAAAAATTAAAGGCTATCTTGTATTTTTTTCAGTGCTCACATCACTATACTCAATTCAAATTTTCTGAATAGAACAATTAGGAAAAGATGCTGAACACATTACTCATTCTTAACCTTATAACATTTGTTTTTCCATATTTATTTTTGTCTCAAAACCAAAACAAAAAGGCCTGGGAATCCACAATCTTCACTTGTAGCCCAGGTGTTGGTTACATTTTCTTCACTAGCACAGCCATCCACAGCGCTAACGCTTGCTCCACAATAGACTACGATTCCCAAGAGCAAACACACAGTGAATTGTGGGAAGTGCATTGTGGGCATTGTAGTTCTGAATGAGCCTCCTTTCTCCCAGCCCTTGACTCAAGCTCCGATTCAGGCGCTACCAATTATCAGGGGCCATGTCTGTAAGGCAGTAGTCCAACCGGAAAAGCTGGTGTGAGAACTTCGCACGATGATTGGTCAATAGATAACAGGGGGTGGGTTTTGGGAGAGTGGGCGGGACAACCACAACGATTGGGCGAGTAGCCACAGCGACGGGGGCGGATTGGCTGATGTCTGGATCGGTGAGGCCTGGGAAGGGGCGGAGAGGGGAAACTGGAGCAGGAAGAGCAGCGGTAAGGCGGCGGCGGCGGCGGCAGAGTTGGTGGTGGCAGAATCAAAGGTGGCCGGCACCTCCAGCGGGTGGCAGTGGGCCGCAAGAACAGGATGCAGGTCCGGGTCGGGCTGACGCTGCTGCTGTGTGCGGTGCTGCTGGGCTCGGCGTCCTCTGGTCAGTATCCGCCCCCGCGGGCCGAGGGCCCTGAGCCGTCGCCCCCCGGCCTGCGTCTGCGGAGGGGGCGACCCGGGCTCGGGGCTGCGCTCGCCGGTCCCGCCTCGCCCTGGCCTGTCACTTGCGCTTTCCTTGGGCTTCGGCTGCCTTGGGTCAGTGGGGCTGTGTGGGGAGCGCGAGGGCGAGAAGGGGCGGCCACCCAGCCCGCGCCTCTCCCACGTAACAAACTTTACGCGACTGCTCGCGGGCGAGGAATGGACTCCCAGGGCTTGACCCCGGCGGCCGGCTCAGACCCGCTCGACCTTTGAAGCCTGCTGCCGCTCCCTCGACCATCGCGCAGCCCGTGCGCTGCTGCCGCTGTGGAGCGCCGGGTCTGCGGCTTGTAATCGACCCGCCGGGAGCTGTCACTTCAGGCAGAGCAGGGCCCATAAACTAAGATGTGCAAAGTGGCGCCATGGGTTTGCTCAACACCCAAGCCGCTCCTTGGTCTAATTGTTTAGAAACGAAGACGTCTCCCTTTTAAAAACGTGTTCAAAGAACGGTGACCTCTGTCACAGTGTTTCCGACCTGCCCCTGTTTTATTGACAGTGGTTTTATGACTTTTGAGAGACTTCATTCTTACAAATTAAATAACAGATGTTCGCCTTTTTATGTAAATGCAAAAATTCGTATGCTTTTAAAGTGATTTTCCAATTAGCTGGTTTATACTTTGGTTCTAAATTTTTTTTTAATGTTTCGATTTGCTTACATTAGAAAACTTCTATTCCAAGTGTTAATTTAAAAACTTAGTATTTCTAGGAGTCAATAAACAATACAGGAAAGCTTTGAAATTTTAATCAGCTTTTGTTAACAAGACAGCTGTTCTGTAGCTTTCAATTTGGGGGAACAAGGCAGAGTATAAATGTCACTTTTTTTCAACAGAGAATTTCCCAGATGGTTATTTGAATTCCCAAATTATCTGTCCTAGTTGTAAATCAATGCCATAACGTCATCCTGCTTCTAAATTAAGAAGTCTGAACCAAATTTCTGTTCCATGTGGTTTGAGATACCATTTCAAAAGCAAGAAGCATATGCTAATTCTGCTAACATCACAATAAGATCCATTCCATTTGCATTGTAATGATAGTTTATGTTGATGACCAAATCTTTAGAGACCATCTTGCAGCTCTTCTAAAAGTTGTTTGATCAGAAGAAGTATGCCGTGAAGCTGTCGAACTTAGTGGGTAATGTGTCTGATGAATCATGAACCACTGCAGCGGAATTCTTCTTCAGAGTTTGTTAAAAACTTTTTTAGGTCCAGAGTAGGTCACATATCTGTATATGAACAAATCCTGAAGGTGGGTCTTCTTACTAAGGTTTGAAAACTAAAAACATGATGCACATTTCATCAGAATTCAGTTGTGGAAGTTTTTTTAACAAAGTATAAACTTTCCTACATCTTCCTTTGATGATTTTATGAACTTAGAGCTCCATGTAAGGAGATGATCCTTCAAGAGCTGTAGTCAGGATTATCAGGATGTTATAATACACAGCTATTCATACCGAAGTGTTAAGCCTTGTTGGTGTGTTGATATAAGAAGAGGACTATGTTCAGGAAATATCTATTCTGATTTCTATCATAGTAGAAAGTATCCCAAAGTATTTCCCTAAGAAGTGCAAAACCTAAGAAGTGCAAAAACTTAGCCAAAATTAAAAGGTAGACCCACGGGCTGAGAGGTGATGAAGGCCCATTGGTTTTCCCTATCTTCCAAGTCACATAAGTGGTTTCAACCAACCGAAGATGGAAAATACTCAGAGGAAAAAATTGTGTTTGCGCTGATTATGTGTAGAGGTTTTTTCTTGTTGTTTCCTGAGCACTACAATATGAAAACCACTTACATGGTATAACACTGTATTAGGTGTTATAAGTAATTAGGTTACATGTAAACTACTCCATTTTATAGAAGAAACTTTGACGTCAGATTTGGTATCCAGGGGTTGGGGATGTAGAGTTGTCAGATGTAGGCCTCTGACAACTGTGCCAACATCACCTGAAATTCACACATGATATAAAGTTCTACAAATTAAGTGCTTACATTTTTCAGTTGGGTTTTTCATTCAGTAAAGTGCTCATTTACACAGGATTCCTGCCCCATGTGAAAAATTTTAAGCTTTGCTCCTATATAAAAGTCAAATTTTTTGTGCTAATTTTGTGTGTCAACGTTAGTGATTACCCAAGGCAAGTTTTGTTTATAACCAGGTAGAATATGCTTAGCCAACAAAGAAGATACTCATCCCGTTGCTCTGAGTAGCTGTTATCTAGTATCCTGTTTTAGAGACTTGCAAAAACTAGGTTACATTAGAAATATCTTCTTCCCTGTTAGTAAACGTCAGGGAGATTAAAAAGATATTTCTCTTTCATTTTCTTAATGAAGAGGAACTAATTTTTCTCACTTAAAAAAAATCTGCTTTCTTGGGACTAAGGGCATGACTCAGGGCTAGAGCACGCACTAAGCCTGTAGGAACCCTGGGTTCACGTTGATACAGCAGAATGAAAATAATAATTGCTGTATTGTTTGGGGCAGAAAGAAGCAAATGGTTTCCTTTTTTTCCTTTGTGCCACACAGTATTCTAGTATTTTTAGTAAGACCCACTGCCGAGTATTTCAGGTAGTAGTTATACAAATAACATAAATTCGGAGAGTAGTTTTTAGACTGCAGGAAATATGTGACTTCACTGGTGTAGTTGTCACTTACCTCATTGTGAACCAAGAGGACAGATGGGCTTATTCCTTTTTTCATAGACTGAGAAAATGAGAACTGAGCAAGCTTTCAGTGTTGAACCACAAGTGTTCAGTTTGGTCTGTGGTGAAGCCAGGTCACAAACTCTGCTCTGCAGGCAGAGCAGATTTGGAGTAACTTAGAATCGGAACTATTGTAGTAGGATCTGTGTAGATCCCAAACAGAACGGCAGTGCCCAGGGCAAGACATCCAGGCCCTTTGCATCAATTTTTTTTTAAATTAATTTATTTATTTGTGTGTGTGTGTGTGTGTGTGTGTGGCCAGCTCAGCCCACCAGGGGGCGGGGCTGGCTGGCATGTGGTGCTGGGGATTGAACCGCGGTCCCTGTGCTTTGCTAAGCTTGTTCTAAGTAGGTGCTTTAGACCACTGAGCCTCTCACCAGCCCTGCATCAATTTCTTTATAGACTTTTGTGTGTTTGAAAATTGATCCGTCTGTTGTGACTTGTGGTAAAATGAATTCGTCAGAACTATTTGTCCTTGAAAAAAGATCCCTACCTAGTATTTTGTGGTCTTGTCACTTGATGTAGTACAAATGAAAATTGATCTTTTTCAAAGGAAACTGTACAGTTAATAAAGTAGTGTGGATAATTTTATTTTAGATGTGCTACCAATGAGTGAGAAATCTGTTACTGTTGAATCCCTTTGAATCCTTGTTGCCTGATGCCTTTGTTTTAGTGAGAGCACTACTATTTACTTCTCTTATGCATAACTTCAGTGTCTCTGATCTTTACCAAAATGCTACATGTCAGAAGTGGTTTGGTCATAAGCACCCCTAGGTAAAAAGTGTTACATGAATGTGGATATCAGTCCGAAAGAGAAGAAAAGTTTATGCTTTACGACTGCCATCTGGAGTAGGTTTTCCCACTTTAGTAACTGAAAAATGAAAAAGAATGCTTGTTTACCAGTAATCTTAGTACATATTCCTAGTTTGTTAGACAAAGCATGATGCAATTCGCATGAAATAACCCTGATGTCACAAATCATGCTTCCTAGAATTCAAAAATACATTTTACTTGTCCTATGCTTTACGACTTTTACTGTTTCAGACATGTATGTCTTTAAATTTATTTGTTATCTGTATTACTTTCCTTCAGGTGTAGCTAGATTTAGTGATGAGTGACTGGAGTCTCAGCTACCCTGAAGTTCAGAGTTCAGGGACACATCACATGCATCTGTACTCTTAAAATCTGCTCATGCTATATTAACTAATTGAAAATTGGTATTAATTAACTATATACAAATGACTTTGCTGCATAACAGATTAATTTTTTTCCTTTGTCCAAAATTTGCTGAGAATGGGACTTCAACCATCTATTAGAACTTGGGCTTTGGGTCATATTTGCGAAGAAGTTAGTGGACATGTTGAATGTTCTTGATAACACTGCCTAAACATTGTGGACATTCTGGGGCCAATACATGAATTGTTCTTCTTCTAACAAAAATAAAGCACACTTGGAAGGTAGTCTAAATGTGGGTGAATGTGAGCAATGGCTTTAATTTAAATGTTCTTTAAATTAATACCATCTTCATATATGGCAAAACTTCACTGAGAACCTGTTCTGTTACTCAAACAAATTTTGTGAAATAAGAGTATATTTTGTGCATGAGTTGATTGTACTTCTTAGTTTCATACTTTGATAACAACTTCCAAAACAAGTTTTTATTGTAACAAGCTACAAGTTCTAGATCATATTTAGAATAAGACTGTTTTTGTGTGAAGTAAGACAGTGCTACATTTTCCAGTGAAAATCCAGGGGCCATCCAGCCTTCTTTTTACTGGTTAATTTCTCATAGAGCTGACAGAGCAAACAGAATTGACACTTGCTTCTGTATAAAGTCAGGTAATTTTAAGAGCAAGACGGAAACAGAGATAATCTTACAGATAATCTCATTGTTTGGCTTTTTTTTTGAACTGGCAGTGAACACAAAGATCAAACATTTGTGATTGAACATTGAGTTGGTTATATTTATTCAAGAGCAGATAAAAGAATAATAAACAATCAGAATAGCTCTAATAGCCAGAAAACATAGACAGAATAATAAAAGAAAATTATGTAACCCAACAAAACCAAACCAACCTGTATGAATTTGGAAGATAAGTGTAATTAATGGCTGGATCACCATTTCACATGGACTGTTGATCTCTTATAATAGATTCTCTATGAGTGAAAACAGTATGATGCTACTTTTTACCTGTATCTGGTTATCACAAATCCTAAGTATATTTGCCAGGTAAGTCTGCTGACATATAGTAATAGTTATTACATTATATTATGTTTTAATTAGCAAAATGCTAATTAACAATAAGGTAAACTAATGTTAACTCTAGATCCTGACCAAAGGAACAGGAAAGATAAAAGCAGAAATATGAAATTAAAGGTATGTTTTTATGACCTCAGTAACTCATTGTCAGTAATAGACTAAGTAAATACAGAAAACTTGCTGGAATCCAAATGTCTTTGTCAGAGGGTGGAGGTAATTCGTCTTCCTACTTGGAGAAAATCTACCACCTGAACCCATTTTTTTCCCCTTAATCTTTTGGGAGTAGTGGCTGAATACAAGCAGTTGTCATCCTAAGCTTAGTGTCTTCCTTATTGTTGTGCCTATTAGATGCTTTATCTTAATAACATTTGTAATTTCCAGGGGCCGGGGAGACAGCTCAGTAGAATAAAGGGCCTGAGTTCAATCCCTGGTTCCACCAAAAAAAAAAAAAAAAGTGTAATTTCCCAACAAAGAGATGACTGAACTATCTTAAAATTTCTTTGCAGATGAAGAAGGCAACCAGGATGAGTCCTTAGATTCCAAGGTATGTATTAAAATTTGCAATGGCAGGTATTTGCTGCCCAGTTTAAAAGGAGGAAATAATGTACCTTAGAAGGGATATGAAATCTGCATCTATTGAGTGATAGAAATTTTAAACAGAGAGGGCTGGCCAAATAGCTCAGTGGATTAAAGCACCTTCAAGCAGGCGCAGGGGTCAGGGATTCGATCCCCGGGCCTGCTGTGCTGACCCCTGAGATAGCCCCTGAGAGGTCAGTTGAGACTGGGTGTGGTGGTACACGCCTGTAAGCCCAGTTCCTGGGAGGCTGTAAATAGGCGGATCACTACGAGGCC